TGTCACAGGCACCAGTAGTCTAAAACCTACAAAATAAAAAAAGAAGCAACAAAATCGGTTTAGTAGTTCCCGAAAAAATCTTGGCACAGACAGACAGACCAATGGCTAAAAATTTGTTTTTCGGACTCAGGGGGCTGTGAAACATATAGGTCTGTCGAAAACCGCATGTCGGAAATTTGACCCGATTGCAATACTTTCCTTAGGTAGGAAAGTAAAAATCATTCAGGTTGAAGCCCCTCCCTAAAATTACATCCTGGATCCATTAAAGGTTATGAGGTAAAGTCAGTATAATTTCATGCACTTTAAATTCTGAAGATCCATAAGGACACTAAAAATAAATCTTAACTTCCTTTTCATAAGGAAATACACCTGGGCTAATCAATTCGCTGGAAGTGCTTTTGGTTTTTGTAACTTGATTTGGTTTGAAATCATATAAAAAAAAAAAAAAAATACACCAACATAGGGTAACAACCATTTAAGGTGTATACAAAGACATTAGTGGCTAAACCAACTTTTTCATTTCTCATGTCAAACAGACTAAAAACACTAATATGAGAAAATAAATTTGTTTGTGAAATGTCTAAACACACCTATACACTACCTTTGTCTTGGTTAGGCCTAAGCGTTGTTTTATTTGCATAAATTTGTTTAAAATGATATTTAGTGACACTCTGCAAAATCTTAGCTGCACTGCATTTTAAACAAATGAGCAAAAAATCAGTTTTTCTGGATTTGAGAATGCACTATCAGGTAGAAACACACAAATAAGCTCACGCAGTCGAAGGTAACTCAAACTAACTCAGAAATGTATTGAACACAGGTATAGCTAATATTTGAGCAGATACAAAAATTAAGTTACTTATCTAATATGAAGGAGTCAATAATTTACACAATAGTAACATGTCTGGAAAATTTTATTGATTAAAATTTAAAAAAGATTTTGAAATGACAAAGTTTGAAGAGAATAAAAAAAAAGAAAGGTGGAACTGAAGCAGTCTTCATTGATGAAAGCCACCTGAAAATATAAAAAACTAATTAAAATCACACAATTAATTTAGTATATGTATAATAAAATTAATTTCAACTGTTATACTTGAATTATCTTCAGATCTCATTAATAACAAATATAATATTTTTAATGGTCAGGATATGTCAGTAATAATGACTATGGATTTATTTTAATACAAAGCAAAGTAACTAAAAATAGTTATGAAACTAGGAATCACATTACAATATATGAGATTAAGTTAATAAAACAAATGAAAAATTGAAACAGTTGAGATCAACTCAATTTTTTTAAGAAAAAAAAAAAGTCAAAATCACATTTTATAAAATGATGAAAATGTCTTAGGTAAATGGGGTTGACCAATACTGCACATCAGTTATCGAATGACGAGATAGAAATAATTTATATGTTACAGACTAGAGAAAACTATAATAAGGACCTTCCATACTATTACTAATTATTAACCACAATACTAACCAAAGAAAGTAATAACATTGGTGAAACAAAGCAAAGCTAAAATAGTTATGTCTATCTTAATAATGTAACTGACATTCATAAATGAAATAGAAAATTTCGTGAAATGATTTACTATTTCATAAAATTGAGGGTATTACACTAATATTACTAAAATCTTGTATTTGACATACTATGTTTTCATTCAGCATTTTATGTTAAATGTAAACTAAGTGAGACAACCAATAACATTAAGCTGAAACTTATTAACCTCCTCTTTTAACCAGCAATGTTATTTATGATTAATGATATTCCAAAGAACATTATCTATTATATATAACAATATATATAAATCTAAACAGATTATCTGTAGTACCTTTAATATGGTTTATTTTAAAAAGTTAATCATTTCACATTATTCAGAGTTACGAAAAAATGCTACATATAACGAAGGATTTTGGTAAGTTAATAGAAAAAAAAAAAAAAAAGAAGTTAAGAGATATTGAAACAGCTTTGCACATGCCACATGGTCACTGTGTCTGCAATGTTCATAACATTTTAATTACAATTATCTCAGTTGCAAGAATTATCTTTACTATTATTGTTATTTATAGCTATTTTCCTAAATAATCTGAAAATAGGGCCGAAGTTGTGGAGTCGTCAAAATCTTATAGCACTCTATGGTTACTTTAAGGATTTTATCTATTAGCCTATTTCTTTACACTGCTGAAAAATAAAAGTCAGCACATGCTGTAGTTATATGGATATATTAAAATTAATAGTAAAATACTACTAAAATGACAGAAACGTTTTTTATAACTAAGTCAGACGATCAATCATATCTATACTCTTGGATAAATCCTTTACAGTTGAGATGGGTCTTAAGCAGACCCTACACGGTAATTCATGAATGAACGTCACAAGAAGTTCCAAGATTGCCCGCTATCGCTTTGATCATGAAGAACCTTACACGTTCAATCATTAATGATCATTACTTATCGTTGCTGGTTAGATCGTTGCTGACCAATTTAGCGCAGTTGTAAACAAAGAAACAGCATAGATATGCTTATTTAGACATTGTCATTTATAATATAGGGCATCAAGAGAAAAACGGAGATATAATAATTACTTCCTAGTGCCTGAAAATCGTTTAGACCAAAGTTAGTCCAAAATATAAGTCAACTACATACAAAAATCTATGAAAAGTATCGCGAAAATAAACAATTTGTTAAGAAAAATTAATGGCAAATAAACACAAAAGTTAAAGATTTTTATTCTATAAGTAAATTGTGAAGTTTCCACTTTTGTTTCTCTCCAATTTATTGCCTACTTGACTATTTAAAGAAAAAATAGTTGAAAATGGTTAATAATAATATAGACTAGGGATATAAACAACTATTTACTTTTACGAAATTATTTACTTAATAACGAGACCTAGGTAAACTAACCTATCTAGTAGTTAGGTTAATCTCATAGAAAATCGTTCTGACAAAAGTTAGTAAAATATCTACTACTTACAAAAATTGGGGAAAGGTATTGCGAAAATAATAAATTTGTTGAGGAAAATGGGAAAAAGAACTGATAAATATACACAACGTTAAAAGTTTTTTTTTTCCTTGAAAGTAAATTGTGAAATTTCCACATTTTTTTTTTTAATTTGTTGCCCGCTCGACTATCTAAAAGAAACAGTTGAAGATGGTTTAAAATTATAAACAAGGGATATGAAAAATTATTTAACTTATATTTAACATATAATGAAAATCAGAAATTTATAATAGTTGAGGCCTAGGTAACCTAACCTATCCAGCAGTATGGTTGGTCTCCCCAGCCCATATGTTTAGTCAATCTCACCTCCACTTCTCGTAAATGAACCTTTGATTTCTGGAAATCCGCAGCGCAGCACAGCATCATCAGTACTTCATTCACTACCTTACACGACAATTCGGAACGTCATTAGTGCAATTTCGATTAACTGTGTAGAGTCCCCTTTACCAAACAAGTCACCACTATTTACTTTTAGATTCACTTATCATTCTTATAACCCGTCTAGAGTGTGACCACAAAGTGGAGCAACACATGTATAACACCCTTGCTCCTGTTCCTATTGTTGAAAAAAAAATTTGCTGGCGCAGGTTTGGATTCAGTACTTAAAAATGTTTCTTGGTTAATGTCTTTGAAAGTTAATTAGTAATCGCCATATTTCTCCTGATATACACAACACAGTAGAAGACCTGTGCGCTTCACTAGTCTATTAGCCCAATCCTGGTATCTACAAGGTGGTCATAAATAACTTAATACATTGAATACCTAAATTAACACAGCAGAATTTAGAAACTGAAATTGCATGCCCTAAATAGACCAATTATTGACTCCCAATGGGTTTGAAGGTAAAGAAGGACAATAATGAGGTCATAAAAAGCACTAATCAACATAAATAATAAACAGGCTTTCATGAGCCACATGTACAATGGCCACCACATGGGTGAATTTAGTCAATATAAACTCTAAATTAACAAATTCTAATTATTATATTTCTTAACACGGAACTAAACTTAAAGGGACAAGGTAGCAAGATGATTCTTATATGTATAACACTAATTAAACACAACATAATGTGAGAATATGAATTAAATTAAGCATGCAATTGTAATTAGAATCAACAAGAAAACAGCTTTACATCTCAAATACCTATTAAAAAAGATGCCATGCTGGCAAAACAACATGAAAATGTTAGAAATATAATGCAAGTTAATGTAAAAAATCTTTCTCTAATTAACTCAATTCGCGAAAATCACTTTCTATAAGAACTTAACATGCATGATGATTCACATCAAATTAATTCAACAATGATTATTATAATTTACATGGAAAAAACTAGTACTTACTGTCCTAAGTTTACTTGGACCTCGCCCTCATCTTCCTCCTTTTACGCTTTAGCCTACGCATTCTCTTTTTCCTCCACTAGAACAACGTGGTACCAAATTAAATGATTATTCCCAAAGATACAAAGAAAAAAATTTATAGAAACAACAATAATTATACAAACAGTGATAACAAATAAATAGTTATTACCTTGGCCCTCATGTCTTAAAAAATTTCTTGTCTAAGTCTGAACGATGAGACAGATATTCAACGATAGAGCATCACAGAACAAGTGAGAGAGTCACCAATGGCCGAATCAGGAACAAGGTGCGTGGTTAATTCAGATGACATGATCGCGCGATTAACACTTGAAAAAATCAATAAATTATTTGAATGGCGATTTATATTAAATTATTATGTTTTAAAAAAATATTTAAAAAATTTTAATATATGTTTTTTAACTTGAATTTAAATATACATGAACTCACGTATAAATGTAGTATAGCATTCATACGTGATATACATATTCATATTCATTTTTAATACACATATTTTAAATATAAAATAATAATTTTTATTTCTAGAAATGACATGTATGTCTTGTTAAACCATAAATTAAAAATTATTTATTTAGTGATTGTAGATTCTTGTGTAGAAGGTAATTTGTTGGTTTACGACCCTTGAGTGGTTCAAAACAGAGTTAATTTTTGAATCTATTCGTAGATAACATTTTTAGATTAGAAAATTAATTAGGAAGCTGTATTTTAGTCTCGTCCTTACCTTTAAAATGATGACACAAAGAGTTTTAAGAAAGATGTTTTTATCATGTTCGGGGTCTAAGAGTTATATTATTATGAATTATAGAATGAACTTCTCCACTGAGGAGAAAGATGATAAATATAAGTTTAAGATATTTAAAGACGAAGATTCTCCTGTTATTCTTGATATGGAAGAGGAATTAGCTGAACTTGATAAAAGATCTAAAATTAAAATAATTTCTAGAAAACATAAGGTTGATGAAAAAATTTTGACAAGTAATAAAATGAATATTAATATATATATATTTTTTTAATTTATGATTTTAACTATTATGAATTTTCTGATCAATATAACACTGAAAAATAAATTATACAATATCCAATCCTTATGGCTAAATATTATTTAAAAATAAGAGTTTACTGTTGCACAATTATTAGTACTAATGGTTGAAATTAGACTAATAAATATTGAAAGTTTGAGGAAAACATATGAATTTGCATATTACCTACATTTTTTTTCTACTCTCATAAATTTGTACATACATTTTATGTGTAATTACTATACAAAATAGTTAAGTACCATTTGTGTTGTTTTGAGTTATTCGCAAATAAAATTCTGAATTCCTTGTTACTTTTTTTCTACTTTTTTAAGGAGAAGTGTGTTAAATACATAAATTGAAAGGGCTTCAAGGAAATTCAGAAAATGTATATTTAGCCAAGTTTCATTATAATTGTTACAGGTGTTTTAGCACTATAGTCTATAGAGACACATTTTTCATTCACCATTTTAAAATGATAATGGAATTTATATGAAAACAATTTATATAACTGAGTTTGATTGGAACATATCAAAATTTCAAAGCAATCAATGAAGAAATGGAGATTAATGGTTTGAACAAACAAACATTTAAATTTATATATATATATATATATATATATATATATATATATACATAATTTCTAAAAAAAGATTATTAAAATTGCTCAAAACGTCGTCAAGAAATTTAAATGAATTCAATCATGGAATAAATGTATAAGGGTGAAATAAAAAGTTTTTCCTCGCTATTACAAATTTTATTGATAACGCTAAAGCTTATGAATAGCTATTAATTAAAAAAAGAAATTTGTTTGAGAAATAGATGAGAAAAAGCGACTTAACTATTTGACTTTTCCTATATAATGATATATGTATGTATGGTTCTGTTTTGTTTCTAAAATGCATAATGCTATATCATAATAATGTAAAGATGAAGAGAAGGATAGTTGGGGTGATCAGTCAGAAATAAGAAGGCAAAATAAATAATAATATTTATTTTAATATTTGCCAACTTTTTGATCTGAAGTTCAGGGCTGCTCCCAAAAGATTGCCGGAGGCCAGTGGGCAACTGGTCTCCAGCAATCTATTGGGAGCAGCCCTGAACTTCAGATCGAAACGTCGGCAAATGTTAAAATAAATATTATTATTTATTTTGCCTTCTTATTTCTGACTGATCACTCCAACCATCCTTCTCTTCATTATTCACGACAGTCAACCATTAATCCACAATGTAGAGATGGTTGACCGTGATATAATATGAGGAGTTGGTCGGGGAGTGCTTTCAAATAAATACTAAATTTTTAAAAAATTGTATTTTTTACATTAGTTAATTTTTACTGCTATTTTTAAAAAAAATTAGTATTTATTTTACTGAATCCTCCGACCAACTCCTAAATCATAATAAATTAAACAGGTTGTGAAAAACTTATCATCAGTTTTAATGTGAAATTGGTGAACTGTCAACTTTTGAAGGGGAACTGTTCCTTCTAAGCCATGCAAAATTTAAATTGAATATTTATCATTTTAAACACATCTCTTGAAAATTACAAACTACAATACCCTGCTACCTACCATTGACTCATTCCTCAAACAAAGTTTCTCATAGAAACTGCCGCTCTCATATTTCGATGATCCTGATCTCTCGATACAATCAGCAACTTCTAGCCAATTAATCAAATGTGGATTGGAAAAAGGCCTCTGGTACATTGTATAGTCTCTGAGTCATATAGGAACAGTATTGACACTAAATTTATCTTTTAAGTGAGGTGTATACTAAATTAGAAACATAATTGGAGAATGAAAACTAAAGTAATACTTAAATTTAATATTATTGTATTGCATTATGCATTTATTTCTTATATATATATTCTAACTAGCTCACAATTTTTATTTATATTTTATACATAGATCTATCCAAAGATCAAATGTTTTTATCAATGTTTAAATGGAAGTGCTTAATTAATTGTTCAGATTATTATGACTTTAAATAAATCAAAGTTAGTAATCGTTTTAGTTTTGTAATATTTTAAGATTATATAAGTATTCATTCATCATTATTATGAAATTAACATAACCAATAAATTTTAATGACATCTTATACTGTGTTATATCTTTCATTTCAATATTATTATTAGAAATTAAAACTAGTGAAACTTTTTAATTTTATTTATTTATTTATTTTTTGTCAGGAGGTGTTACTGGAGTATTTGAAATCCAGGAGTTGGTACATTATTTGAAAGAAGACAATGCTAAAGATATATTTGTAGTTAAAGTTCCAACAGAATTAAAATATGTGGATTACTTTGTGGTAGTTTCTGGAAAATCTCAGCGTCATATTTTAGGACTTGCAGAATATATTCGAAAAATATTTAAAAGAAAAATGCATTCTTCTGATATACTTCCTGTAATTGAAGGAAAATATTCTTCCGATTGGATTGCCATGGACTTAGGTATGCTGATGAAATTATTAATCATTTACTTATCATTTATTGACAATATAACTTATAATTGATTATTTATTTCTGTTTCTTAACTTTCTCCTTATTGTTAGGTTTTATATTAAAGCTGTATTAAATTTTGTGTACTTGCTCCTTATGTACTTTATAGACGAAATCCATAAAACCTACAAACATCAGAAAGTGGAATATGAGAACAGTCCTCGTACAGAGCCTTTTATACAAGCACTGCTAGAATGGAAAGAAGAGCTGCTGACGGAAGGTATGCAAATAAATGCCGTCAGAAGAAAAACGATGGTTATGGCGAGAGAAGAATAGGAAAACATCCAATTGGTTTGCAACAGAGAAGTTCTTGATGTAGTGAAGGATTATATCTGCTAAGGTACCGTAATTACTAGTGCACTTATAAGTAATTACTAGTGCACCTGCCTATTCTCACGATGTTACGATGGAAAAAACTGGACTTTGTTAGACAAACATTACAATCGCATAACAGCAGCTGAAATACGGTTCCTACGTAGATCGGTGGGAAAAACTAGGAGGGATCACATTAGAAACAAATCTATAAGAGAACAGCTGGAAGTGTCTGAACTCAAAACCACTTTGGAGAACAGGCAACTAAAGTGGTTTGGACATGTCTGCCGCATGAAAGAGGACATGGTCTCTATAAAGGTATTAGATGCTCGACCCACAGGGAATAGACCACGAGGGTATCCCAGAGTTTCATATCAGGAGTTCATGCAGAGGATCGGAGGTAGAAGAGGCAAATCCAACAATCAAATGAAGCGGTTAAGCAGAGACCAGGAAGAGTGGCTGTTCTGGATAGAGGCTCCTCGACGCTAAAAATGGTGTTGTGATGAAGAAGAAGTACTTACTCCTATAAAAATAGATAATTGGTTAAAAATAAAAAAAAAATAAAATGATCTTAAGAAGTTTAATTATGACTTAAAGTATGTTTCAGATACTCATTATTTATTTTCTTCCCTGTAAAACATTTATGGTTCAACAACATATTTTCTTTACATTTGAATGTACCAACTCTCTAACAGATACATACATCTTGATATGACTGCACTAAAATAATTCAATTTACTTAGAAATTTGTTATTTTTGTGGGTTAATGTTAATGTTAGCAAATTTTGTTTTTCAGGTAACATTGCACTCCATATTATGTCTAGTAATGCCAGAAAGAGGTATGATTTAGAATCACTTTGGACTTTGGGTTCTCAGTATGATTTTAAAACCAACCAACATGATGAACTCAATGAATTCATTAAAAGTTATTCTATAAATCTGGACAGTTTAGGACCTGTACCATCAGTAGTTTGATTTCTCTTATTATAAAAATTACAATAATTATTTGTAAATAACCTGCTGTGATACTTTAGTTTATTGTGAATAAATGTTTAAAAAATTTATAATAGATTGCACAAGATTTATTTTATCTGATGTGTGTACTCATGCAATCCTTTTTTATTTCTTCTGGTCCTGCACCTCTCTCTTCCAATTACCGACTCCTAGTCTTCTCCACTTTATCCTTGAATATACTTCTTGGTTTTCCATTGAAGTGTACCCTTTCATTCTCCAATCCAACCATGTCTTCTGCCCACCTTGCTTTTATAGAATGAATGATATTCTTTTTCTCTTATAAATCATTATAGCCCTGGGAGGCCCAAAAATCAATCTGATCGCAGGCGAAGGTTTGATTGTAAATTACGAAAGTGTATGTTATTCTGAGTAAAAAGAACCTTGTCTGCCATTCCAGAACCGCTTCTTTTAAAAATGGTGACTGATTTAAGGAATATTAAGCCAATAATTTGAGGATCAAAACGGGTAATCCATTGAGAAAAGTTTTTATTTTTTGGGTTTAGACATTTAAAAAACAAAATTGCTACGCTGGCCACCAAGAGAAAACTTTTTCCAGCCAAAACAGTCAGATTTGTTTGATATTTTTTGGGTTTTTTTCACCTATAACTCCTAAACGATGCATCAAAGCGAAAAATATATTCTTTAATAAATTAAAGAAATGTTAAATTTTGAGTCAAACGAGTACATAAACTTTATAATTTGGTAACTCTGTAAGGTATAAAACCATGGTTAATCAACGCTGATTTTTAACAAATTTGTCAAATACTGATACAAATTACTATAAATGGCCCTGTAACTTGGAAAGGAGTTCCCTTAGAGGAAAAACCCATAGAATCAAACTGGTAGAGCATCAAATTTTGTGTCCACTGAGTACCAACTAATTTAATGTAGGTAGTGACCTACGAACAAAATCGGTAATCTCCCGATGGTTAGAAATTGGTAATGAAGGTAAACGTGATTTTCAATATTTTAACAGTATGAGTATCTATTCTACTGAGTTATTTTTGTTTAGAGTATGTTACATGCAGTATAAGCCTCTTTTCCACCTCTCAACAGCAAAGGATTTTGGTAAACGATGTGTCGAAAGATACCTTATTTTGTAAAGGAATAACAAATCCCGATTCGAGATATATAATTGGCCTACAATAACAATGTCAGTACTCAGTTGATGCAAAATTTAATGCTCTACAAATTTGGTAAAAATCAGAGTTGGTTGACTGTGGTTTTATACCTTACTACGCAACCAAATTATAAAGTTTATGTACTCATTTGACACAAAATTTAACGTTCTTTAATTTATTAAAGAATACATTTTTCGCTTTGATGCATCATTTAGGAGTTATAGATGGAAAAATCTGACTTTTTTAGCTGTAAAGTTTTCTCTTGGTGGCCAGCGTTAGCAATTTTGTTTTTTAGATGTCTAAACCCATATATACAAGTTAAAAAAATAAAAACTTTTCTCATATTTTTTGCAATGGATTTCCCGTTTTGATCCTCAAATTATTAGCCTAATATTCCTTAAATCAGTATTTTTTAAAGCAGCGGCTCTGGAACGGCAGAAAAGATTCTTTTTACTCAGAATAACATATACTTTCATAATTTACAATCAAATTAACCTTTGGGCCCTGGCTCAAGGGCTATTTCTCTTAATTAGCCATTCATTCACCATTAGCTCGTGTTGGTCTGTAAATCCTTATAATTTTTCTTTTGAATAGTCGCAGCTTACAAGAAACTTGTTGGGACAAATACAAAGTATCCACTCTATTGGTGACAACTAATTGCAGAGATTAATGTATTTTTAATTTGTTTGCTTTCATCAGTTGAAATTTGGAGTGCTTTCCCGAAACACTCTTGAGAAGGCAGTACTACCAACATGGTAGGCTCATAACTTACTTGCCTGAGAATCATCTTAAGAAACTTGCAAAAGAGAATAGAGCTTTCATATTTTAAGGATTAAGATATGGCACGGAAACAGAATATGGAGTGTCAAAAGCATTGATGGAAAGGAAGTAGTGTAATATGTATAATTAATTAATAAAAATACCTTTAGAACAAACGTAGGTGTGCTTTTTTATTTATTACAAAATACACCCTCTGTCTTGCCTTTATCTAACTAACATGTGTAATCGATTATATTATAATTATAAATAGAGGTTACAGTCTTATACTACACCCTTCCCTTAATCCTCACAAAGTCTTTTTGGTGGCTTCACCAGGCGGCCCGATCTGGTGCGCATACCTTCACTAGTTGGAGATGCTTGCTGAGCTTGATCATTGGAAATTGACAGTCCTGGTAACAGCAGGGAAGAACCATTCTGCGGGTGACGCGGAGACTGTCTCTGTTCCTCCTGAAATAAAGCATTAGAGGGTTGGAGTAGAGGATCAGAATCAGAATCAGTTGGGTTGAGTAGAGGATCAGTGTTAGGTGTGGTGAGGCGTCTTAAGTGGGATGAGTTTCTTCTATATTCGTTGTCATATTGGTCTCTGACCAAGTATGATCTTGGTTCAGGGAGAACCTTTGTAATAGATCCTTCTTTCCATCGATCCTTCCATTTAACATAAACTGGTTGTCCCATCTTGAACTCCTCTGATTGACGTGAAGTTGAGTCATAATATTTTTTACTTTTGAATTTTAGAAGCTCCATTCTTTGGCGCACATCATCGTCTGGTATTTTGGGAATAAGAAGATCAATGCTTGCTGGCGCCCTGGTTCGCAGTCTTCGACCCATCAACAGTTGGCTTGGAGAATACTCGAGCCCAGAAAGGGGAGTTGTTCGGTATTCTAGAATGGCTTCATAAATGTCTCCTCCTGAATAAGAGACTTTCTTTATCATTTTCTTCGCGACACCTATCCCTTTCTCCGAGAGACCATTAGATCTAGGGTAGTGAGGACTAGATGTACAAATTTTAAATCCCCAATGTTTGGCAAAAGCTGCCATTTCTGCACTACTGAACGGGTTGTTATCACAACGTACAATTTCAGGCGTGCCATGATTACTAAAAAGAATTTTTAGTTTTTTGATAATTTCAGTGGATGTTTTATTCTTGAGCGGTATAATATCCAACCATCTTGAGTAGTAATCTTCTACAGCCAGAAAAATTTTCGAATTACACTCGCCTATGTCCATACCAATAACTTGAAACGGAAATTTAGGAATTTCATATGTTATAAGAGGTTCTTTAGGTTTATTGTTTTGGAAGGTTTGACACGTGGAACAAGAATTTATGAAGTTTGTAATGTATTCGGACATGTTTGGCCAATACATAAGGCTCTTAATACGGGAAACGGTTTTGTTTATTCCAAGATGAGCTTTAGAATGAATTTGGCTTACGAAGTGACGTCGGAGACTCGGTGGTATAATAATTCTATCATTATAAAATAAAATTCCTTTATTTTCTGAAAGTTCGTCTCGGAGCCCATAAAAAACCTTTATTTCACGTTCCAAACACTTTTTATGAACTCCTTCCCAAGCATTCCTGATACAATTTCTAAGTTCACTGAAATCATCCCTGGTGGCTTCTTGCAAGATTTTTATATCCTCTGATGGCACCGGCAACAATTCTTCTAGCGTAATGGCATGAACCACCTGAGAAAAGTCTACGTCTTCCGGTCCCTCTTCTTCAAGAAAGGCTCTTGATAGCATGTCCGCTATATACATTTTTGAGCTTGGTATATAGGATAATAAAAATTTATATTTTAATAGCTTCAGTTGCATTCTTTGGAGTCTTGAAGAATTTTTATACAGCTCCTTATTGAGCACTGCTAACAACGGTTTATGATCCGTGAAAATCTCAACATTATTATGACCGTAAATAAAGTGGTGAAATCTATTGACCGAGAAGCATAAGCTAAGCATCTCCTTCTCTATCTGACTGTAATTCTTTTCTGAGTCATTAAGACTTCTTGAGGCAAATACGACTGGTTGCCCGTTTTGGAGTAAACAGCTCCCAAGCCCATCCTTACTGGCATCACATTGGATCTCAATTTTAAGTGACGGATCAAACAGTTTGAGAGTGGGCGCATTACAAACTAAAGATTTTATAATAGAGAAAGCTTGCTTCTGTGAATCAGACCATTGCCACTGAGCACTCTTTTTCAATAATTCCCTAAGAGGGGCGGTGACTTGTGAATAGGCTGGAATAAATTTGTTCAAAAAATTTATTGCACCTAAAAATCTTTGAATTTCCTTCGGAGACTGAGGTTCTTTAATATTAGAAATGGCTCTTACCTTGAGAGGATCCGGTTTGATTCCATCTGCTCCAAATACTAGTCCCAAATATTTAACTTCATTTAATTTAAACTGGAGTTTCTTGCTATTAAATTTAATGTTGGACTGTCTGGCCCTTTTTATAACCTCTTCCAAACTTTTAGCATGTTCAATTTCTGTTCGGCCCGAAACTATTATGTCATCGAACATTATTTGCACTCCCTCTATGTCTCCAAATATTTTAGTATTTTCCCTTTGAAATATCTCCGGAATATTAGACAAACCGTAGGGCACTCTTAGAAATCGATATCGACCAAATGGGGTATTCATAGTGCATAAACGACTCGAATTCTCATCTAGAGGAAACTGATGGAACCCTTCCTTCATATCGAGCACAGTAAACCATTTTTTCCCACTAAGGTTAGCAGTTAGTTCTTCTTGAGTAGGTATGCTATAATGTTCCCTTTTTATGTATTTATTCAATGGAATGGGATTCAAACACAGCCGAATAGATCCATCTTTCTTTTCAACTACCACTATGTCATGAACCCAATCTGTAGGCTCTTCTACTGGTGTTATTACTCCTAAGTCCACTAACCTATTGATTTCTTTTTTAAGTTTAGATTTGAGAGAGGCTGGAAGTCTCCTCGCTGGCCTCACAGTAGGTACCGCATCATTGCTAAGCGTAATCTTAACTTCATAGGGAATTTTACCCAGACCAGTAAAAACATCCTTGTTATTTTGAATAAATTCTGGTTTTCCATCTTCTAAATTTTTAATAGTCAAATCATCAACTTTAGATAAAGTATAAGCTCGTTTAATTAGCCCCAATTTTTCACACGTTACTGCACCAAGTATAGGAGATGAGTCACAATTCATTACTACAAATTCAATGTCACAATTCTTCTTTTTATAATTAGCCTCTAAAATAGTTTTCCCCAAAGGTTTAGAGATAAAGCCTCCAAATGACTTAACCTTCATTGAAGTTTTAGTCAATTTACCATCAAGTTCTATTTTATTCCAAATTTTACTGGGCAAAATGTTAATATCACTAGCCGTATCCAGCTTAAAAAGTACGGGTACATTATTAATATAAATATATTCCTTCCATAGATCTGACTTAATAGCATTCACATCAGTAATAACGTTACAATCAAACATTGACTCGGACGATGAGTCTTCTTCAACCTCATTCACTGCAGTTCTCTTTTTTCGTGAGATGCACCCGATTTTAAAATGACCTAACCTCCCACATAAAAAACATTTTTTACCAAATGCTGGGCAATCTCTTGGTCCGTGAGTGGTACGGCATTTTTTACATTTATATTCAGTCCCTTTATCAGTCTTAGTACGTCTGGATGTAAAAGGTTTGTTTTTATTAACCATATTGGTATAGTTAACATTAACATCACCTAGCATGCCTTCTCCAACCATTTCCTTGCTATAAGATTGACTTATTTCTGCTGCTCGACAAATTTGCGTCACCTCCTGCAATGTTAGCGTTTTGGTCTCCTTAATCAATACTTTTTGAACTTCTGGGTCATTATGGTTACGCACTATATGGTCAATTAGCATTCTATCCGCGAATGAAGTTTTACAATCGGCTTTAGAGCACACGAAATTGCAGTTGAGTGCTTGACTTTTTAGCTCAGTTAAATAATTATCAAATGTTTGTCCTGGGGAATGTTTTATCTTATTGAATTTAAAGGACTCCATTGCCAAATTTACTTTAGGAATACAATACTCATCAAATAATTTTAAAACAGCTTCTAAAGTATCTTTCTTACCTTGGAATGTAGAATGTATTTCTATGGCTTCCTCACCCATTTGTGTTAATAGAAGAGCTATTTTCAATTCCTCATCTGTTGATTTATACTTCTCTATAGCCTTTAAATAGAGAATGAAGGCCTGTTTCCATTTTGGCCACTTCGTTGCAATGTTCTTGTCAAATTGAAGAGATTGCAGCCGCAAATTAGAATTATTCATTTTCAATTTGTAGGTATTTCACCTGACACCATGTAATATGTATAATTAATTAATAAAAATACCTTTAGAACAAACGTAGGTGTGCTTTATTATTTATTACAAAATACACCATCTGTCTTGCCTTTATCTAACTAACATGTGTAATCGATTATATTATAAATAGAGGTTACAGTCTTATACTACAAGTAGAGCTAGTAAAGGAAATAAAGAAAACAATTATCACTATCCTGAAAATTATAGAAACCAAAGAAAGCTAGAGGGACGAAACGAATGTGAGAGTTGTTACTAGTATACACAAGAGCGAGCCCCATAGAACACGCTATGTCTGAGATAGCTTGTCTATTCCACAAAGAGGTATCAAGGTTTATTAAAGAATGTAAAGCGACAAATATACATCAGATTTTAAGGGATGACAAGTTCATGTTGTCATCATAGTATATACATACTATTCATTTCACACACACCAAATAACGATGCCACAAAAAAAGTTATGTTCTTAGAAACATTAAAGAGGACCAGACGATAGCAATCCACTAATATTTAGGGATACTTTGAAGGGTTGATAATAATAACAAAGCCTGGCTAAACTTAAGAAGAAATGATGAAGAGCATCTTAACGATTAGGAGCATGAATCTTGAACCTAAGCCTCACAAACGGCATGATCGGGTTGAATAGAAAATTTTCCCATAAAAGAATACACCAATATACAAGACTAGAACTGTGAGGGGGCGGGATGGCTGAACCAGCTAACATTTGTATAAGACGCATTATTTAGCAACCTGATTAACAAGCTAATATGATAAAATAGTTATGAGTTTGCATTCCAATGACAAAGGGGATTTTCTTTTAACTTGGCCCAGTTCTCCATCCTCTCTCCTGGTCCAGGAAAAACCCTGTATAGCCTAGAAGGCGAGGAAGGAGACCAAAAAAGAAAAAATACTAACTGTGATGAGATAAAAAATCTTATTATAATAGATTGTTTTCCATATCTTGAGAAGAGATCAAAAATACAATTGATATTAGATTTAAGAGGCACAGAAACAGCATAAAGAATAAAGTTTCACTAAGGAAAAAAAAATATGACTCCGAAAGGTCCAGAAGATAAACTACAAGTTGAAGAACGAAAAAATAGCAACTGTATAACAGGATATAATAGAAGAAAAGGTCTTTAGTAGAGTTTAGCCCTGGAACTAACAATGATGAGACAGCTTGCATTCTGCTTTAAGAAAAATGAGAGCAATTTCACAAAAATAGTGTTTCATAAAATAACACCAGGACTGACTTAAAAGAACAGCATGGTGGAATGATGAGGTCAAAAAGGATATCAACCGAAGAAGATATATTGGAATCAATATCTAAAACCTAAATGCCCTAACGATATAAAAAGATATGGTGAATAATAAAAAACAAGGCCATTGAAACTATAAGGAAGGCAGAAGATTTTAGAAGACAACTTCAGAGAAAATCAAGCTGTTTTACTAAATATGCTTCGAAACATTTGCATAGAGAGAAAGAGAACCTTTACTTAAGCGAATTGAATACAAGGAAGGGAGCATATTCATAAGTAATAAAGGAACATCTGAATGAAAATACGGACAATAAAAATGAGGAATATTTACATTACAATGTTATTAAGGAGGCAGATTTTATCAGTGGAGAACATGTGAATGCTAACGGTTCTCTGAAAATACAAAGAGCACCTGGAATAGCCCCTGAAATGATCAAATGCCTGAACTAAAAGAGGACAGAAGTATTCCAGTATCTATTAAACTTCCCATGAAAAGTTAAGAACATAGGTGGCTGGTCATGTCTCTTGAATGCCTGGGAACGGAGCGGCCAGGATTGAGTAAGAAAGAAATGTTGATGGAAACAGGATCAGAAAAACTTGAGAGGAGGGTGTCAAAGATGTATTTGATAGATAGAAAGAGAAATGGATTCAAAGAGCAGGCAGCAGTTAGATACAGGATTTGGCTCTATGAGACGGCTCCTGCACTGCTCAGTGGTAGACGTCTTCAATTTCGGAATCTTTTTTAGAATAATGTAATAAACTACTGAAATTTGATAACTGTTAAGATTCCTCACCAAATTGAAATGAGGTAGGTAACTTGTATAAAGAGAATATAATCAGAAAATAGGGATGGATTTAAAATATAAAACAATGATCATCAATAAGTTTAATAAGATCAATCAAGCTATGGTAAATCAAAATATACATCATGTATAAGTAGTGTCCAAACTGGACACATATTTGATAAAACAATGATTTAGCTTAACAAAATAATGTTATTTTCAAGGTTTAGAGATCTATAATTAAGTAAAGATCACCATAAGGAACTCCCATTTTCCCTTCTAGGGAAAAACATAGTTCAGCAGAATAATATATCGTAAGATATATTATAATAGTTTTGTATAAATATGATCTGACACAGAAAAAAGGCGATCTTGGCTCCATCCTTAAATCAATGTTTTTTTTTTTAATTTACATAACAAGAAATACAAACATATTGCGCATTTTAAAAAGAGGTCAACACCTTTTGATTAATAATCAAGTTGGCTCCTCAAAATCAAACAGAAAAAATAATTATTAGGATTGTGAAGTTATTTTAGCTTTTGATTGGATGAAACATTTTTCACACTCTTCAAAATAAGCCAAATTTAAAATTGTGCATGCAATGGTAAAATTCTATAAATAAAAGTTTGGTATCATTTACCCAGTTAATTTAAGTTTTTAGAAGAAAGCATAGCAATAGCTAAAACATTTAAAGTAACTGTACAAATCTCCACACCATACATAGAATTTAAGAAAAAAACAAAACAAAAACATAAGACATTTCTTGTTGAAACAATAAAAACTTTTGCACACAGTATGAACATAATCTAATACATCAGTGAAAAATCTAAGATTACAAAGATAGGTTACCTGAAAAAGGAAATAATATATTTTTAAAAGATTAACATTAAGATTTAGTTTTTACCAGGTATATTAAAAAGAATTGATAATTCATCAGTCTCCCACTTCTTTCATGACTATTTTATAAAGTTTCCCTAACCCTCAATGACATTTTTCTTAATTTTTACTAACTAATTTCCAACTGAAATTTTACATTTTGTAGCACCAAGCTGGAGGATTAACGATCTGTGCAGAACAGTTTCTAAAAACATTTTTATACAAATGACTTAGTTCTTGACTAACTTTGCTAAGGGCAGCAAAATCTACAAAATTGCAAAGTAATAAAAAAAAAAAAAAAAGCTAAATTATTTGGAAAAGGAAAGGAATATGGTTTTTTTAAAAAGTAAACTCACAAATACTCTCCACATCAAGTTTATACAGAATTTAAATTCTAAATTTGGTGTATGACGTTACTCTTTTTATTTTACTATTTTTTTTATTTCATTTTTTTTTTCTAATGATTTTGACAATCACATTAATTAATAAATTATAAAAAGAAACTAATGGAACAACTTATATTCCAACATCACAATGCTTCTTACAGTCTACATACATTTCTCTCAGAAAACTACTAATTAAACAGAGAAATAAATTATGACATAGTTTGTAATGAATTTATAAAACATATACAAATAAAATATTTATAAGAAATGTGTGTTCCAATAGTGTAACTATAGTAATTGTCATTTTCTCTCTCATTTTAAAAAGTTTATTTCTATTGACTTTAATTACTTATCCTTAATTTACACTATAAATAATTAATTTAAATAGATTAAACAGGTCACTGAAACTGGAATGTGAATGTTCCGGGATAAGAAGATCCTTGCTGACTGAAAAAGTGAGCTCCATCAGGAAAGAATGCCTCGAAGACAGATGATGCAGCTATGAAAAAAACAAGATAACCATTATCATTACGGTCAAACTAGTAATCATCCAATTTATTTACATGACTAATGGCAAATACAAATTAATACAATATATATATATATATATATATATATATATATATATATATATATATATATATATATATATATATATATAATAAATTTCTAAGCCCATTCACATCCCAACATACCTCACCACTTCTTTTTCTCTAGTTTCTCCATAGCCATTATAAATTATTTATTAATTTATTTATTATACCAATAAATATTTATTTTCTTTGACAACTCCTTATGTCTCAACAATTCTCATCTATCTTTCCATATTTTGTTTTTTTTTAATTTTATTTTATCTTTGAAGGGGAAGTGAAAGCCATTCTCTTGGGCCTTGAGAGATTGGTTGAACGGAAAGACAAGAAAGTTGCTTTCTTTGTTGCCTCACAGGCAGCCATTTTGTCTCTCCAAAATGTTTATAATATGTATCAAAATGTCCTTAAATGCCATATATATCTGGACCGATTAAAGAAAAATGGGACAGAAATCGCTTTCCAATGGATACCAGGCCATTGCGGGCTCTACGGAAATGATGAAGCTGACAAACTGGCCAGAATAGGTTCTGGAACGATCCAACCAGATATTCCTTTGGGTATGGATTCAACGAAAAGAAGTATAAAACAGATCTTCCAAAGTTCACTGAAGGAGAAATATGCGCAAACAATTGAAGGGAAGAGATGGAGTGGATTGCTGGAAGAAAATGGCAAGATCCTTAGAGACCTCTCTAGAGGGCAAGCCGTGGCATGCTTTAGAATGCTCACAGGACATGATTTCCTTTAGAAGCATCTCCACCGCATCAGTATAAAAGATTGCCCGACATGCCCTCAGTGTTCCTTGGATATGATGAGAGGACAACATCTTGATACATACCCTGGATTACAGGACATAAGATGTTCCTTTAGTGAAATGGACAGCGTTTATGCTAGGAGAGCAAAATTATATTGGACTGCAAGAGCACGCATGGCTGATCAAGCAGGCGTTACTTAGGCGTAGGAAAAAATTTTTTTTTACGGGTGGCCGAACGGGCTAACATATGTGCACAGCACCGGCAACCTGATATATGAGACAATGGATTTTAAAATAGTCACGAGTTCGCGTCCCGGAGCCGGGGGAGTCTTTTAAATCCCCGCCCACACTCCTGGCCCGGGAAAACCTTGTATAGCCTTAAAGGCGAGGAAAAAAATAAAATAAATAAATAAATAAACTATAGGTAAGTGAAAGTAAAAAAAACATTTATTTGTACCAAATTATCTGATTTCAATGATTTTTTTTTTATGATTTAGGAAATTTCGTAAACTTTTAAATGACTATACACAACATCCACATAAAAGTGTATACTTTTTGTGTTATTTGGAATTCTAATTTTATGACCCCTCATAACTTTTTTACCAGCATCTTTTAGTTGAAGTATGTTGTTTAGATAAACTTTAGTGTTTGAATTTGTTGGACGGTTACGATAGTGCATAATTGAAAATAATAAACCAGAAACAACTGAGTTAGTAACCATTCAATGTGCACAGCACTGCACCTGGCAACCAGATAACCGAAGTTATGAGATCTAAAAAAGTACGAGTTCGCGTTCTGGTGACGGAGGGGATTTTCAATTCCCTCACCCCAGGCCAAAAAAAAAGCATAGATATTCAGTGTTGAGCTAAGCTTTTCTTTAATCGCTTTAATGTATGATTCTAACGCTTTGCATTTTTGTCCTATCTACATAAATGGAAGAGACAGGAGTGTATAAAATATCTAATGGGCCACAATTCCGAAGCAAAATGTTGGATGGAAATTTGGTTTTGTCCGATTTTTGGATTCTATTTTTCTTGAAAAATAAAACATCACATTCAGATGATAGGGTCAACATTGATAATAATAAACTAAATAAAATGCCACTTCTGGTAAATCGATTTTCACCAAAAAATTTGCTGTAACATCCAAACCTCAAATATGCAATTTCATTTTCGTACGACTTTCTGTTTTGGAGCTAGACTGATCATATACACACACACATGCCGACCATTTTGCGGGACTTGGTTATTTGGACTCAGGACACCTCAAAACATGTATTTCTGTCAAAAACTAAGATTTGAAAATTCTCACGATTGCAATACTTACCCTTACAATATACTGCATACATAGATAAGTGAAAGTAAAAATATAAAAAAACAATTGGTTTTTCCACTGAAATAAAGTAAAAGATCAAATTCTTACAGAAGAGTTAAGTGATCACAAATTTGATGTTTCAAATTAATTTAGTAACCCTCATTCAGTCATAAGATAAAATAGAGAAAAGATATAATATGTACCGATATTTCATTAAAAAGAAAGAAAGAAAAAATACCATTAGATGAACAGTAGTCTTCTATGTCAAAACCATTATCATAACGTGTTCTCTTCTGAGGATCTGACAATATTGTGTAAGCTTCTCCAACTTCTTTAAATTTCTTTTCTTGTTCCTGTTTTTCAACATCTGAGGCATTCGCATGGCGATCTACAAGAGCAAGTTAAATTTAAAAAAATAATACCAATTTATTTAAATTATAAATATATTGTGTACAAATACAATATTTTATTTAGAGGGTGGCCATGATAACTTAGATTTTCTATATCATTAGTGAAACAACAAAAAATTACCGTACTTAAACAGAAATTAATTTATATAGAATAAAAATAATAAATGTTATTTGGCAAACAATGAGACGATGTTGAAACAAAAAGTGATTTTAGAAGAAAGAAGAAGAATCAACTTTATTTTGGGACAAAGTCCCTTAAGAATAACAATTTTGTAAATAAAAATTAACATTCCATCTGGCCAAAATACATATTACAATAAAAAAAATAACTAAAAACTAAGTGATAGCAGAAGTATTTACCTTATTACATTTACATTACAGAATGTGACTAGACATCTTTTCCATGCTCAAAAAAGAAAATATATTTATATACAAATGATAAATAGAGAAAAATGCAATTTTGTAACATGATAAATGGCTACCCAGCATCTGATTGAATTGTAAGGAGGAATTGGAATAGGAGGGTTTTAAATATGGATAGTGATGGTGCATGGCGGATTTTAAGTGGGATGGAATTCCAAAAGGTAGTGGAGCGCACAATAAAGGAGTGTTGAAAGGAGGCAGATTTTACTATCTTTCTTTCCAAAATCTGAAATACCTTACAGGTGAAGTTAGTTTATTTATAGTTTTATTTATAATTTTATAATTATTTATAGTTTATTTTTATAAAATTTATAATTTTATAGTTTATTTATAGTTTTATTTATAATTTTATTTAAGCCACTCTTTGTTGACACTCCTAGGAAACTTGAACTTAAGCTTAAACATTCATATTTTAGTAAAAATTAAAAAAAACACAAGTTTTTACTAAATAAAAATTTGTTGGGAGTGAAAACCTGTTATTTTGTATAAAATTTGCTCTAAAAATTTCAGTGAAACCCTTCCCTAGGTTTTTGAAATTCATTTTGCATCCACGCAAACATTAGTTTTATTAGAATAGAAAATAACAACAATATATAATTACCTGGGTGATGAACTAAAGCTCTTTTTCTATATGCTTTCTTAATATCTTCAGTTGTGGCATTTTTATTAACTCCTAATATTTTATAATAATCTTTTCGCAGTGATTTTTTTAATTCCAATTTAGCATCATTTAATAACTTTCTGGTTTCTGAAAAAGGTATAAATAACAATAAATATTAAATATACAAGAAACAGTAAAGAATCAAAGGCTTTTTACTTACCTCTGCTTTTGTCAAATTTAACTAATTTTTCATAATCTCTAACAGCCTCCTCGTATTGTTGAAGGTCCATGTAGCATTTAGCTCTTCTCATGAGGGCCTTAAGGTAATTTGGATCTAATTCTAAAGCAGCACTACAATCTGAAACAGCTTCATTCAACCTCCCAAGCTGAAAATAGAAAAAACATAAAATAAAAACAACAATACAACTATATAATATAATAAACTATATAATACAAAATTAATAATATATAATATTAAAAATTAGACATACTTTAGAAGACACTGTTGCTCTGTTAAAGTATAATTTAGCATTAGTGGAAACATTGTTAGGATCTATTCCTAGAGCTGCAGTATATAAATCATAAGCTTCTTTATTCTTTCCTTGTTTGAAAGCTTCATTTCCTTCCTCTTTTTTTTGTTTTAAAGCTTTTGCTTTCTGGAACAGATAACATCTCAACTTATATTCAAAGCTTCCAAAACATAAAAGAAAAGATAACAGTACAATATATATCATTGGTTTATTGCAAAAAGTACATTTTTGGTGGTCCTGAACTATAAGAACACTTTTGTAAATTTGAACCTTATTTATCAATTAAAAAAAACACAGTAACTGCACTAAAATAACAAAAACCCTTTCAAGTATCAAATATAGTTAGTTACAAGCGCACGATTTCCTGATTTCAAAGGGAATATTCATTGAAGTTCTTAGTGACTTAGTGTTATAAAGATTCACTTAACACGTTAGCTCCGGTTACGGTCCCTAGGGTCCGATATTCGTCTCGACGACCAAACGGCCGGGATTGTTTCGAATTTTGTCTATCTTACGCTATGGTATTATCTCGCCAAGAAGAAGAGAAAATTGATAGCAGTGGTAGTGAGTGGGATGTGGTATCGAGTGATTATTTTATCATCACTTCACCTTACCTTCAGTAGAGGTAGGATCTACGAATTTCGATTATTATTGAGAGTATATTTACAAATATTTTATATTTTCATGTTTTATATATTTTTTACTTACATGTTTTCTTCTTGCTTCTTTTTTTCTCAATTTTGTATATAAATGTATGAATATACACATAGAGCTTTAATACCCAATGGCCTTGATTGAGGCAGATTGAATTATTATTCTTCCAATAAAAGTTTTATTTTAAAGACAAAAAAATGTAATAGTGAATACCTAAATATTTATAAATTATATCTTGAAAATTATAATTATATGTAATAAATAAACTTTTTCTCATTTAATTTTCAATATCTAAGGTTTATATCCCTAAAATATAAATCCATAGATTTATATGGAATAATCACATTTCTCAAATTATCCAAAAGTCCATTGCTACCCTGAAATAGTTTCTGAGATTCTGTGATTCTATGCCCCTTAAATCCGTCAGCTCCTAGTTTCCTCTCTCATTTTCCTTCACTTTAATTATGGCTGCCTTGTATACAGTGGACTGTCTTGCGGGCTTGAGATCAGATCAAAGAGGCTAATGAATTGTTTTATTAGATTTATACTTGGAGTCCCCTGGCGCTCCCACGTCTCCAGTTGCTATGCCGAGTGTCTCTATCCAGTTTTCCGACGACAATATTTCCTATGTGTATTCCTCTTTTGAACCTTTACCTTCTTTATTTCTTTACTCCTTGTTCCTCTGTTCATCCGTTCAACACAAGATCGCAATCCTCAAATTTGTTTATTCCTTCTCACAGAACTGTATACCAGGAAACTGATGTATGTCTCCAGCGTCCGATGCTGTTAGGAACTTCAAAACTAATGTCGGTCGCCAGGGACCGATATCGTCAGGAAGGACATTTAAGATATTGCAAGCTCAGCAGATAACCTGTTAATGACTATTTTTAATAAAGCAATAATATATTCATTTATTTTCAAATACTGTTAGAAAATAAGGGAGTGGGGTAGCTCAGTGGTGGAGCGCTGTTAGAGTCCTTGCTGATGGCAGATAAATTATTAATTCTGTTTCATCAGCCGTGGACGGGCTCTGGGATCGGGAGACCCTCCTGAGGCATACCCAGCCTCTTTAAAGTGGGTACCTTTAACTAAATAATTAATTAAGAAGGAAAACCTGGCAGTTGAGCGTGATCTCTGTCAAATCACCTTCTTGCACAACCGTTGAACTAGAAACAGTGCTTTTTCTAAGTAATACTGAACCCAAGACCATTCATGGGTTGCAGTGATACAGTTTTTTATTGAAAAAAAAAAAAGTATCTTGACAGCCATACTACAAAAGCCTGTAAGAACAAAAATTAAAAATTTTCAGGAGACGAAAAAACTGCGTAGATTTTGTTCTACTACCATTGTATTTTCGGGTCAATTTTTTTTGCAGACCTAAGACTAAGATGAAATGAAGAAACAAAATCAATTTCCAAAATGTAGAGAAACGATAATTCATACAAAAATTTGTACAACATTTGACTGGAAAGAGAGTATTTGATCACACGGGTTATTCACTTTTTTGTCTCCCACTGTAGGGACGACTCAAACGGACTGCATGCGCCCTATTTTGGAGTAGTCTATGAAAGTTTCATTTTTAACGTAATCAATTTCATATGGATGTCCATATGTCATAAGCCATGTGGCTTGATTCACGAATGCTTGTCAAGTTGCTGATGTGTAGATCACTTCGTTCTCAGCTTCTTGCAATTTCGCAGATTCATTGGATTGAAAAGATGAAACTAGAGTTCTTTTTTTGTCTTGTGTTAAATTTTCCAATAGTGATTTCACAGATTCATTGGTTTGAAATCATAAAACTAGATTTATTTTTTCGTCTTGTGCTAAATTTTCCAATAATGAAAAATGAAATCAAATCTATGCCTCCCACAATTTGGAATTTGTAGCTTTTTCCAGTCAAGCTAATTTTGCAGTTGCCAGGAGGTTTTGAAGGTCATTCAATATAATATTCCCACTTACCACTCTCTTCTTTGCTTCATGTAGTTCCATGGTAAGCAGTACTGGGCTCAGGGCAGGGAAACCAGGGCATTTACCCAGAAGAGCTGGGCTGGAAATACCCGCCACTTATTAGACATTTAAAAAAATAATACAAAGCTTGTGAGAAAAATTAATTTTAGCCTATTAATAAAGCTAATTGATACAGTAGTGTATGAGCAAAATGCTTTACGAATTCTATATATACATGACCACCTTTCATTGAGCATTTTATTATGATTTTTCGGTTTCGATGCATTATGTGGATTCAGCTGATTATTTACTGAGTTTAGTTTCAGGTACTAAACCGAATTAAACCATCATGGAGGATACTTATAGACTAAAGTTAAAGTATTTGAGCTGAAACAAAAGTACCAACATGCTCGACCATAGTCAAGAATTACAAGGAAATACTCAAAATAAATACTCTTTACTGTATCACTGTATTCTTCAGACACGATCCTTCTAAACAACTACTTATTTTGATCAATGATTCATGATCCATCTGAAAAACAAAAGATTTAATTCTTGGAATGCCTTCAAAGACTAGTTGTTTCAACGCAGAAATGGTATGCTCCCAGAAAGATCAAGAAAATTAGTGGATAGTGATGGACAATACTTGAGTAACCACAATAAAGACCCAATTTTCACAAAAATCCTTTAAAACTATGAGGCATTCCTGACCCACATTTGGTTTTAATAATGAAAAACTTAATTTTTGGTGAATTATGAAAATCTGTAATTTTTTTTTTAATTTAATTTTTTTTAATAAAACTCAAACTTTGAGCTTACTTAGTTGTAGACTTTGTTTGCATAGCGCTAAATTCAACGGGATAAAAATTTAGTTTTGAAAAGAAATAAGTTTTAATACGGTTTATTGAAGTACTTTTGGATATAAAATATTTTAATCTTCAAGTCTGGTGCATGCATGACTTCAATATTTTCCAACATGTGAGCGGGCTACATTCAGCTCTCCATGTACTTTCAAAATTTATTATTATTATTATCACGGCGCTACAACTCAGTGACGAGTCTTGGCCTCCTCCACCAACTTCCTCCAGTCATCTCTGTGCTGTGCGGCCATCATCCACCTCCTGATTCCCAGGACACTCTTGAATCTCTTGCCACACTGTCTGACCATCATAGTTTTGGTCTCCCTCTTCTTCTTGTGCTGTAGAGAGGTACTGTCAGGGTCATCCTAGGGATTGCTTCATTCTCCATCCTTACCACATGGCCAGCCTATCTCAATCTTCCAAGCTTCATCCTCAGAACGACATCTTGACCATTAAAAGTTGAGCAAATTTCGGCATTTGTCCGTCTTCTCCAATTTCCATCAATCTGTATCCTCCAAATATTCTTCGAAGAATTTTTCTCTCTAAGATTAGGAGGTCTTGCTCAATTTTTTTAGTCAGCGTCCATGTTTCTGAAGCATAGAGCAAGACTGAGCGGATTAGTGTTTTATAGAGATGTAGCTTGTTATGCCGGGATAGGTGAATTCCTTGCGAAGGGCAAAGTAACACTTGTTAGTCATAAATATTATTTTCTTGGCCTCAACCTCGGGTGCATTGTCTTGTGTTACCAGTGACCCCAAATACTTAAACTTCGCTACTTTCTCAAAGTTAAAGGGGCCAATATTGATGGTCTCGTCTGGTCGAGGGACTTCTCCTGTGGCCATATATTAAGTTTTGCCTTCATTCACTTCTAACCCAAGTGCTCTGGGGACCTCCTAAGCTAAATATCTCTCTCTAACAGATTGCAACAACCGCGCCCACGATGTCCACATCATCTGCATAGGCTAATAGCTGAACAAGTTGTAAATCGTCCCATTAGTTTGCAGACCTGAATCCCTGATTCAAGTGCCAAATTAAACAGAAGGCATGCTAACGCATCACCTTGGCGAAGTCCTTTTGTTGAGGAGAAGTCTTTTGTCATTTGACCACCAACCTACACCACAGTACACTTTACATCCCTCATGGTCAACTTTACCAGTCGTATTAGCTTATCTGGGATATTGAAACCTTCAAGTGTCTTGTACAGTTCTTCCCTGTTAATGCTATCGTAAGCTGCCTTAAAGTCAACAAAAAGATGATGGGTTTTAATTTGAAGTTCATTTCCTCTCTCTAGGATTGTTCTGAGGCAGAATATTTGGTCTGTCATAGATTTTCCTTGTCTAAATTCGCATTGATAAGGACCAGGCTTCTGTTCTGCAAAGGGTAGAAGAAGCTGGAACAGGATGTTAGACAAAATTTTCTATCCAGAAGAGAGAAGAAAGATACCCCTGTTATTTTTACACTGGAGTTTGTCACCTTTTTTAAAGATAGGGCATATAACTGACTTTTTCCAGTCTTCCGGCAAAACCTCTTCCTCCCAAATGGTCAAGACTAAATTCTGGAACCTTTTAAACAGTTCCTCAATTTTCTTGAAGAGTTCAGCAGGCAGATCATCAGCTCCAGATGCCTTATTATTCTTTAACCGATTAATGGCATCCATTATTTCTT